GTATACCATATATATATATAGACTAGCAAGTGAACTATAGGTGAAAGAAGTTACATACATCTCATGTGTATAAATATTACCATTTTATTTCAGTAGAGCTCATGATTAATCCTACTTCGCTCAATAGAAAAGAAGGCCTTACCATATATCCCACTTGGACTATCTATCCTAGCCACCTAGTCTGATATTATCTACAATTCACACCATTATCTTAAAAATTAAACACTATCCTTTCTCACCATAAAGGTCACGCAGTTTTCATCCTTAACAGTGCACACATACACACGCACATATTCACATACATGAAGCTTACGAATCACCTTGACCGTAATGACATGACATTGATTTATTCAGACCTGTTTTTTGATTGATCACGTAATATTTGTGCTGTCCCGTCGTACTACTTAAACTTGGATTAATTTCAATTTGTTCACATATTCTCTGAAAAAGTGTTTTACATTAAGTCAGGAAACGTCAGAAAACCTAATTTTTCTACTCATTGGGATATTACAAATATATTATTTATTTATAACAATCTATCCAATGCTTAATTTATTCGGAATTATCAAATCAAACCTTGGTAACGATATCTAATATCTTATGTTTTCCAAAAAATGTTTGGAACGGTTAGATAATATTTAGGACAGTTTTTCCTCATAAGTAACGAGTGCAAACTAATTTTAGTCTCAGCAGCACGGTTATATCAACAGTAGTCAGCTACAACGTAGGACCGGGCACGTATATGCATCCGTCCAAGTTGCCATACCTCATTAGCACAAGATGAACACCAAATTCATAGTAGTTACTTCAACGGTAGTAATATATAAAAGAAAGATTGTATATAAGGACACAGTACAGGAAGAAATTAGAAGGGTGTAAAGCAAATTTAATCTCACGATTTAAGGGAAGATAGAGTGTATACACCGACGCCATTGTCATCGATTCTGAGCCATGTCACCCAAAGTACGCAACCATTGGTTACGATAGTCACATGGACCCCAACCAAGCAGTCTGCATTAACCAACATGGCTCAGACTAGAAGTCAGTGACTTTAATGACTGATGCCAAGTTATAGTTTGGTCGCCCTTAACTTTCTTCCAGCCGTCTCCATCACTAGTCAGCATTGCGTGTCATGGTAAGCGGTGTTCAGGCATAAGTAAGATGTGGCCCAAACATCTTAGTCGATTAAGATTTACAACCTCATCGACTGATTTACCATCAGTGTTAGTACGGTTAATTTGAAAGTGTCTTTCAAAATCATCAACGATACTTGTTCAGAATACTATTAATTTTATTGAGATAGCTAAATCAAATTTTGTGTCTAAAAGTAGTTACAATTACATAAAAATCTGTTTTTTGTAATATGGCCTGTAACTTCGTATTATTATTTTTCCCGCTAATCTCATTATTATTACAACCTTTATTTTGGACTTCACACTTGATTTTAAGCTTCGTATATCTTTTTATGTATTCATAATAATTATCTGTTACATGTATTTTGTGGTCAAACTGATCGAAATAGCCTGTGGAAACATATTTCATTGTTCAAAACAAACAACGCCTTCTTATTACCTGCATATTTGTAATACAAACTAATCAAGTAAGTATGCTGATGACATTTTAGGATACTGTGGAATGAAATGAAATTTCTAGACATGATATCAGCGTATTTACTGGGCATTTCGATAGTAAATCTCCAACGGCATGTGAAACACTAACAATGCTATTTGCTTCTTTATAACTTTTTGTAACAATGTTTGAAATTGCTTTAATAATAAATCGATTAAGAATTTCATTTGCCACATTATTCACTATGAAATGCATTAGAAATAGATTCAATAATATCTGAGCTATGACCAGGGTTTGACTTATTCAGGACATTTTAATTAAATATTATTTTGAACTGATATTTCTGATAACCGTTAACTAATGTATCGGATAAATTATGATCACGAGATTATAATCGAAATTCGTCTGACCAAGTAAATTATATGAAACACAATATACGAATGACACAGATTTATTTGACACTATTACACTGACCGGTATGAATGAAGGATTATAAAAGTAAGATTCATAAGTTGTTATGCATTATAGTCCTATTGTATAATTGAATGAGTTAAAACTACAAAGCATTTGTGTTAATTATATTTCTGGTTTGAATATTAAATGAGGTAAGCATTTTATGGCATATCCAACATAGGTTTTTCGAAGGGATTGTAGAGTAAAATGCTCAGTAATTAGTTTTTAGGGAAAAATAACTCCTCAGACTTGTGAAAATTACTTCCAAATTATACAAAACTACGTAATCCATTAATAATAGCATGTCCATTAGTGGATAACTTTGAGAAAAGTTTCCAAAAACTGGAATTTTTAGAGTCAACTTCAGGTTAAGAGTAACGCACTATTGATGTCGGATGGGAATCAAGTTATAATAGTGACTGAATTTTTCACTATGGATACCTAGATCTACAATCAGTATTTTCATTTGCTTACCCATGATACCTGAAGTTCATAGGTTAGTTCCTACATAAGTCCCGACAGTCTTAAATTTGGAGAAAACAGTTTTCAAAAACAATCTGACTTTTTAACAAATCCCTGTGTAATAAAAACGTGTTTATTAGAAATTATTACTACACAACTACTCATAAAAACAATAACGATTTAAATGATAAATATATTTTTCGTGATATCCTAATGAAATCTGTATTCTTGACAGTGTGATTTAAGTCACTTCTTCAGAGTATATAAATAAATGACTGAAATAAAATTGAAACAAGTTTAAATAGTACAAATGAAGCAAGGTAGAATATCTTTAGTACAATCAAAACCATAATAGGTATGAACGTGCCCATGTAATTGTTATTTTTAATCAAGGTGATTCAGTATGAGATGGGTAAGAAAAATTTAAAATTTGTTATATGAAGCATTAAGTTTGAAACTGCTGATATGTGTGTGCAGGTCGTGTGACGAATGAATAGTCAAATGTGGTTGTTTGGACAGAGTCCAAGTTGAATGAATAGGTATAACTTCTTTCTAACTGAGGGGAAGGGATTTAGCATTATATGAAACGCTTCGGTTACTCGCCTTTTCTATCGTTGGAAAAACCTTTCTGAATTATTTGGATATTCTTTACAATGATTTGGTGGTCATCGAATATAATATATACTGCTAATGCCCATTTAGATTGTGGATTTCTCAGTTCCACGGGATTGTGAAGTCTTTTTGTGTAGCTCAAGAGTTTTTTGAGTCGAGTCGAAATTTTACGAGGACTCTAACGTAAAACGCATCACAATCGATACAACCAAACAGTTTTCTGTATATATAAGTGAGATCTTTTCACTAGTTCAAGCTAGAGTATTTAAAAGCGTTGCTTATTATATAGAAATCTCTAATTCTGTCTCTTTCCAAAATGGATTAAAATTTTTTTCTTATACCATGGCAGTAAGGTGAAACTAGGGCACTAATCCAAGATGCTTCATTCGAATTGTTATTTAAAGTCAGATCGTTTTGTCTCAATATGTCTTTTTAATAATATAACGATGTAGCTTGGATACTGAATAAAATTTATAGTACTGGGAAGAACTATATAGATTATAAGTGGATAAATTAGCAGCTTATATTATTCAGAATACAATAAATAATATATCCTGAAAATAATAATTACAGAATTCATGCCAGTTTACAGGCATAATCAACTTGATGTATATGCATTTGGTTGTGACTGCTTATTTTACTAAACATATATATACACGGCTTAATTATACTAACTGGATGACCATAGGGTGATTATTTGAGCAACAAGTCAGTGTAAATAGGAAGATTTATGTAGCAGTAAAATGATGTATGGTTTAACGGATATTAGGGAAGTGTTGATTCAAACATTTCTGTATAGTTTATCGAAATGAACCTTAATCCTATATTTCAAGTCAACATATAAATTCACTGAATCATTAATTTCTAATAATTTGAGACCTTTCATCAACATACGCTTGATCAGCTAGACGCACTGAGTGGAATTGTAAACAATCAGCTATAGTTGTTTATATTATCTAGCTCCAATAAAAGATACAAGAGATCGGTATTGGTGAAAATAGTAGCCATATTTAACGCACAATTGTCAGATGACATACTTGTTAAATGTATGTCAACCTTGGACCGACATATTATGTATCATGTTGCATGGAATTCGAATGAAAAGCTCTGGTAACCAAAATGTTTTAATGTATCGCAATTATATGGTACTTACCTTTAGACTCCATACAATGACAATTGATGTGTTTTCTTCCCCTAAAACTATTATTCGTTATAAAACAAACGGAAGTTCACCTTTAATGACTGCCTTCATTTCGAAATCTCTTACAAAAATGAAATGGAGTAACAGATTGCTTCGAGTTGGATCACATTACTAAAGATTTGAAAACTACGACTCAAACAGGGTGATGGGAATGGTCAACATAAATCTAAAGAAGTAAATTGCTAATGGAACTAACTACTGGCTAGTATAAAACAGTAACTTTAAAAGTTTCTCCATCGTCCGATAAACAATAATACGTCTAGCTAAAATACTAGAGGATAGAAACATATGTCAATCTTGTTGGTTTGTTTCCAATGTAGAAGTAGTGTCTATATCTTTAGGTAAATTGTAGTAACAAAATAATAAACAAAAACGTGAAAGTATCTCAGTTAGAACACAAAGACCTGAAACCATACAAATATATTCATAAGTACAATTTACTCAAAGAACTACTCGACAATACATATAGAAAGAGGAAAATAACATGATAAAATAAATAAACGAATAATAATAAATTTCTTCTCTTTGGATATGTGTAAAACATACATCATAATAAGGCAGTAAGCTAAAATATCACAGACAACGAATAACTTTGATTTGTAAGAAGCATTAGAATATGAATGTATTCCCTATCTGACAGGAATCGAAAATGAGGGACTTAATGTGTCACAAGTATACTTATATGTATATATACAAATAGTCATCACTTACCACCAGGTATACCACAAATTTCCAGTGAAAGAGGTTTTTTCTGACGCAAAAACATTTTTGAAAATAAACCAAAGAAAACAACCACTACACCACATATAGCAATCGGATGTAATTCATGAGAGAAAATAATACATGAAAGTATCATAGATAGACCAAGTCTTAATGTCATGATTAATACAAATGTGGCCGCTCCAAATTGAGACAAAGTAAGGAAAATGAACAATTGACCAAATGCTGAACATAATGATGATGTTAGAACATCGAAAATAAATTTAGGACGATTTAATCCAAATAGTATACTTGAAATTAATTCACCATGTACAATTAATGAGATTAAAGTGAGAAATATAGACCAAATATTGACACCAGCCATTACCTAGAAAGAAATAGACTGAAAGCTAAAGTGTAGGGTTTCTTTGGTAAAAAAATTAATGTACAAGTAAAAACAAGCAATTTATAACAATATTGGCTAGACGAGATATAAAGTTGATTTCCAATGTTTGATTAGATTGGATAGCTACTAAACACTGGGTTTAGATGCTTCAAAGTGATTTCCAAAAAGTCATTAATACAAAGTAGAAATTTTTTAAAGCTTGCAGAGCAAGCATTTATGTGATGTATATAGTTTTAAACTGACAGTTTTATTACACCACTTTAGTTAAAAACGTCGGAAAAATCGACCAGCATTATAAACGATGAAACAATAGATATGTTTAATAGCCTGGTGGATAAACCTGCAAATGATTACTATGTTTTATGTGATATACTTTAATTCTATTGAAGAAATCTCTTATCAATAAACTGAAGATAAAATAAACTAACATTTTCCTTGACTTGGATTAATCGAAAAATAGATTTATTGACTAGAGTAGTTTATATAGAAGGAACTATTAGTTTTGTGAAAAAAAGTGGGCTAATTTGTTTAGTATAGTCAGCTAGTAAGTGAAATAAGTATCATCGATGAAACTCATGTTAGGACATGAAGGTTAGTGGTGTCGACCTTAACAGTTTAATGGTAAAGTTATTGCTTCAAAGTCTAGAGATTACAAGCTCGGTTTGACGTAGGCTCCTATGTGTGCACTTCTGAAAAGTAAAGTGATCCCCAGTTTTAATTGTTTTCTAGATGATGTTATTTGGTAACCAAAAACTGCTTCCCAACTAAAGAATGTTAGAAATTTAGCGTAATATAGTGGTTTCAGTCGCTAATCATGACAAGTAATTAAATACATGTAACGCTCTCATAATATATATCCGCAACAAATTTACTTTGTGAAAGAGTTACTAAGATTTTCAGCTGAAACACTTGAACCACTTGAAATAATCTACTATTGAAACAAAATAAAAGTATTCAAGATAATGTAACTAATTAGTAAAGCAAATGTGAATCTAGAATGTAAATCAACTTCTGTACATAGAGTGGGGTTTTTTAATGCTTAGTAATTTATGCGTTAACTAATCTATTATCCGTATGAATTACATTACTAATGGAATGGTTCCATGAAGAACCCGGTTAGAATAATTTAGAATGGGTACTATACAATTCATACATCTATGTACACATGTACACACTGACACACTCTTCACTCTTCTATTAGAATGTATTCTCATACAAAAGGTCACAATAATTTGCATAGTTTATTGATAAAAATTTCTTTGAATAATTTATTGATTAGCTTGAGAAGAGACTGTTGAAGCTAATATTAGATACTATATCGTAAGCTATCGAGGTGAAAACAGTCAAAACAACCAGCTCTACAATAAGATGGATGAACACTATGGTTATATAGAGATTACAAGTCTTAAAGTGATTATATGGAAGTATGTACTTTGCAAACAAACAAATTCCATGTTAATAATCGATCCATTTGACAAATAAAGAAAGTATTAAGAAATAAGTTAATCCTTTTAACTGGGCTTATTTCTACAACGGGTTAATTTGAAATTACCGAAAAAAAATAGCATTGATTCGATCCGACAACTATTTTTGGGTAATTGCGTTATTATATGACATAAATGTCGATTAATGGACATGCATAACTCAGCCAGTAACAAGGTTATAGTTTTATAATTGTGTATAAATGAGATTTATTGGTTAATAGAGTAGTGAGGAAAAAGGTTTGAATATATCGTTAATTCCTAACTATTAAACATTAGATTAATTATTTATTAATATTATTGACTAGTTTAAACATTATACTACGAAGTTTTAATCTAGAAGATTGATCACTTGTATTGTGGAGACAGTTATTTGAATTCTACTATACACAATATTGTATGAAGGTCTGAAATTACTTTTCAGTCTTTGTAAGAAAAGTAAACATTTCAACAAATATTACGCCCTTAATTAGGTGATACATCTCTGGATTGGGTTTTCAGACGCCAATATTATAGTTAAGTTTCATTTGCTGTTTGACAGTTTAGTCATAATCATCGTCATCACCACATATCTGTTTAAATATGAGTTTGTGGAGTGGAAAACTAGCGTGTGACTCAGTGGTTGAAAGCTAGATTCGCTGGACGAAAGAATTACAAGTCCTATGAACTACAAAAGATGATAACAGAAGTTCAAGAAGCACCTAAGCTATACTAGATATTATGAACTAAATATTCATTTTACAGTCAGAGCAAAAAGTTACTTACGAAAATGCATAACAGGTCATAATACGATGTAAGTTTAATTTAATAAATTAAATAGATTGAATCATGCTCATAGCTTTTTTTTAAAAAAAGCTCACGATGAATGTGAAGAATAGTTCTTGAAGGATAAATATCTGTGAATTTATAGTGCGCCTGTGTTTTTTTTTAAATATTCATTTTCGAGCATCCTTGTTTATTTAGTGAATGAATGCTGTATTTAAAGGTATTAATTATTTTTAATTTCAAGTCATAACTTATAATTACCTTACTTGGGATGCGTTACAGTGGTGTGTTCATAAAAGACATACTTATATAACAGTAGATGATTGAAATGAAATCTCTTGTGAAAATTATGTTCTTATATACAGCATTCAAGCACTACTAAATGAACAAAATTTTTTTTGAAAATGTAAAATATTGTACTTTTAATGAATGTTGAAGAATAGTTCTCTTCACACCACTGATTCAAATTTTCAAGATGAAAAAAAAATACTGTATTATAATACAGTTAAAAATACTCAATGCATATTAGTGAGATATTGAATTATATTATTTAAAAAATCTCTTAACTAATGTGAAACAAAATAACATTTTCCTTAAAGAAATTTTAATCAATTTACTAACTTGTAAAGAAGTGAGTTTATATGTTTGAAACATATAATCTTGCCAATTTGATGTGAAGGAATCGCAAACAATATAGCCAATAATCAATAGATATCCACTAAATGATAATAGAAATTGAGTATTATCAATCTTTTCATTTGAAAGTTGAGTTTGTTCAGGATTAGTGTAAAAAAACATAACCATACCCAAACAAATAATAGCTGGAATTGTTTTTTTTTATTTAGGAAAAAAAATCGAGAAAGAATAAAAGGTATTCAGATGAAATAATAACACAATTAATAATTTTATAATATGATACACATGATATATGTCAACAATGTGAAGCGAACGTAATAGGATATAGTCCTATGGATTAATCTGTGACAAAGTACACAATGATAAGTGTTGGCATATAAAATTAATTGACTTTTAAATAGTTTCTCCTATTACATTCTAGGAATTTTTTTATTATTTTTACTTGAACAATTGAAGGTTGTAGAGAATTGAACTGATGAGAAGTTTTTCAAGCGACAGTTAATTATCTACAGTTAAAGTAAATAACATTCGGACAAACGGGGAAATATAACTGGACAAACTTGAAATCCATCAAGTAGAGCATGATGAAACAAAAATATGATATTAATGCCACTCTATGTAGTTTATAGTAGGCTATGAGAATTTTTATTGTACAGTGCGAAATATTTACTCGAACTAAATGGCAGAATGTTAAGCCATTCAAATATTTTATTGGGATCACTGACGTATTTAAGTCAGACAATCATTGGAAACTTGGAAGCATTGGACAGTCATTTCATGATCCAACAATCTCTAAAACCCTTTGAGGATAATTCAAGTATCTATGTATCCTGTCAAGTTTTAACCTACTCAGATATGAGTTAATTGGGATAAAATAGTGTCGTATCATTTGGTTAAGTTGAGATATGAGAGAAGAACATAACTTATAGGATTTCAGCAGTGGATATATAAGTAATATGGATATTATTATTAATTTGAACACATAAATATTGGTACAACAGTGCGCTAAATATATATGCGCCACACAAAACAATGAGAATATAAAGAGAAGGAAAAAGAAAAAAGGCAAGAAGCGTAAAAAAAAGGAAAACGATAACGAAGAGATTGGTCTAAGGTAGTGTAATAATAATAATAATAGTAATAATGGGGGAACGGAAAGGTAAAACCAGAAGAAATCTTCCAGTTAAGGAAGATAAAACCATTTTTTATGAAAGTAAAAGAAGTTTACAGCACGATCGCCACTGGCTTCTATTCTGAGTCATATCTGATAATGTCTCTAGCCACTGTGTCGCACCATCTCGAGGACCCCAGCCAGGAAGTCGTGAAGGACAAACACAAGCCAGCCCCTTGCAGATTTTCTTCCATACCAAGACACCATGTCATACATTGACTACCTCTCCGCTTTTTCCAACCAGTTCCAGAGTCGGCAAATAATGCACGACGTGGAATTCTCTGGGACGACATTCGGAGAACATGTCCAAGCCACCGAAGTCGCTGTTTCAAGATGGTGACACCAATTGCATTGCCGTCTCTGCGCCCGGACACACGATGCCGATCTTCTGCATTACTAATACGGTGTTGCCACTGGATTTCAGCAATCCTTCGGAGACAACGATGATCGAACACAGAGAGTCGTCTAACGTCCTCAACTCGGAGAGACCAGGTTTCACAAGATTAGAGCAAAACTGCTCTCACCGACGCGTTGTAGATCCGGCCTTTTACAGCCAGACTAACATCACGAAGGCGCCAAAGGTGGCCCAGATTGGCATAAGCCGCTCTGGCTTTCACTATTCGTGCATTGATCTCATCACTCACACCCCCACCCCCACTTATGCAGCTACCCAGATACACGAACATCTCGACTACTTCTATCTGCTCACCATCCAGGGTGAGTACAGGATTGGAATCCTGCCAGTCTTGTAGGAGTACTTTGCACTTCGAAGGTGCAAAGCACATACCATACCTACGGACACTGATTGCCAACTGATTAAGTGCGGATTGCATGCCTTGGGCATTATCGCACAGTAAGAAAATATCATCCGCATACTCAAGGTCGATAAGTCTTTTTCCAGGTAACAGATCCACGCCGCCACCACTTACATCTACCAGAGCTGTTTCCAGAATGTCATCGATGGCAAAGTTGAAGAGGAATGGAGAGATTGGGTGACCCTGCCTAACTCCACTGCTCGGATGGAACAATGGAGAAAGGTGGTTGTATGCCCTCACTCTGCCTAAGGTGTTTGTATATAGGGCCTTTAAGATGTTAAAGAACTTCTCAGGCACACCCTTCTTCAATAGAGACAATCCCAGAGAACAGTCCTGTCCAACAAATCGAAGGCAGCCCTGATGTCAAGAAACACTACGATTGTTGGCCTTTGATAAGTATGGCAGTGTTCTAACATTTGGCGGAGGGTGAAGATATGATCAATACATCCTCGACCAGAACGAAACCCAGCCTGCTCCCCGCGTGTCAATCTTTCTCGGGTTTTGAACAACCTACGAAGTGTGACGGAAGCCAGTAGCTTGGACGCAATCGGAAGTAGATTTATCCCCCGATAGTTGTTACAGGAACGGCTTGAACCCTTTTTAAAGATAAGGAAAACTATCGACTCATTCCATGACGTTGGTACACTCTCCAGCTCTCAGACCTTTTTAAACAACGTCGTCAGTTCCTTAGTCACAAAGTCACCACAACCTTTAAAAGGAGCCGGAGGTAGGCCATCTGGGTCCAGTAATTTATAGCGTCCCTTGCGGACTTCCACCGCATTTGGTGGATCGGTCGTCACCGGCCATGGAGGGCAGGACAGTCTGATCGATGTTGCCGGAGCAGCAGGCCAGTTGAACTGCCCTTCGAAAAATTCTGCCCATCGTCCAAGACGTCGATGGATGTTAGTGATTGGCATCCCGTCATCCTCACAGATTGCTTCGCTCATACCAGACTTCTTGCTGCCAGTGGCTCGGATGAGTTGGAAGAGCTTCCGGTAGTTACCAGATGGAGCTGCTGCTTCCAGCTCATTAGCACGCTCCGACCATCACTATTCTCGGTCCTTACGCAAGCTTTGCCCAATGTCCCTACGTAACATCCTTCGTTTGTGGTTAAACTCACGGTCACCCGTAGTAGACCGACGGGTCTCGCTATGTGATCAATCTGAGTCCAGGCTTGAGATGCAGAGGGAGGACGCCAGGTGGCACATCGGCGATGACTGTGCCGGAAGTTAGTGCTAGCCAGAAACAGGTTGTGGTCTGTGCACAGTTGCACTAGACGGTCCCCGTTATCTGTCCTGCGACCAACAAGTCCCATCGGCCACTTAAACGACTCTCTTCTGAGTCTAGACGCCCGACGTTCCTGTAACAACTATCGGGGGATAAATCTACTTCCGATTGCGTCCAAGCTACTGGCTTCCGTCACACTTCGTAGGTTGTTCAAAACCCGAGAAAGATTGACACGCGGGGAGCAGGCTGGGTTTCGTTCTGGTCGAGGATGTATTGATCATATCTTCACCCTCCGCCAAATGTTAGAACACTGCCATACTTATCAAAGGCCAACAATCGTAGTGTTTCTTGACATCAGGGCTGCCTTCGATTTGTTGGACAGGACTGTTCTCTGGGATTGTCTCTATTGAAGAAGGGTGTGCCTGAGAAGTTCTTTAACATCTTAAAGGCCCTATATACAAACACCTTAGGCAGAGTGAGGGCATACAACCACCTTTCTCCATTGTTCCATCCGAGCAGTGGAGTTAGGCAGGGTTGCCCAATCTCACAGTGTCCCTGGATAAGCGCACGTAAAACAAGCTTTTCGGAGCGACAGATGGAGAGCGAATTTGTAGTACTTCACCAGAGTCTTGAATACGGGTCTTGGATAGACAACAAACATCGATATTAAGACTTTCTAAAGACATAGCCAGCCTATCTGTTGTCCAACCTGCATAAGTGTGCGAACGTTGAAGGCAGGCGGTTTGAATAGTGCACGTGGTTACAGAAAAACTGCTTCAGTACTCATATTCGGTGGTAACATACAATTTTCAACCGGACAGTGACTCGAGAACGTTTCGATAGAGTTGAATTTCCACCATAGACGAGCTGCTGTATAAGTCGAAAAAATAAGTATAAACAGAGTAGGAATAAAAGAGGGTGGATAATGACGTAGTAAATAATAATAATAATAATAATAATAATAATAATAATAATAATAATAATAATAATAATAATAATAATTTGAATCATTTGTTTGTTAGTCGAAGCAAGAAAAGTAGTTTCCATAAATATAGACAGTTAATCATTTGTGTGTGGGCTGTGTTACTGCCCGAGTGCCCAGACCGAAGCAGGTGGTTATCTTAGAGGGCTATAATATGGTATTTTTTCTTACCTAGATACCATCCAAATGTGAAGATCAATTTTGATTAAATCCCAATTCAATATATACACATATTATAAATATCGTCTTAGTGTTGTGAAATTGGTAAATTAACTAAATCCGGTGTAGGATAATTGACTTATGTTATGCACATTCACTGAATAAGATTCTTGATGTTTATATACACTACATTGGCTATCGATAGGTTCATCTGTCCATAAACTGACGTGAATTCTTTAGGTAATACAAACATATAACTATAATCTACCTAATTTTTACAAGTTGGTCCATTCATGAATCCAAAACATTATTTATCGTGAGGTTGTGCACTAGAATAAGCATATCATGAAAATATGATTAATAAACAATAACTTCGATAATTCACAACTAACGATAATACTATAATATATTTCAAAACAAAAGTCAATCACTAGAAACTTCCAACATGATCATATGAATACAAAATAAGTCAACAAAGACACCAACATTAAATATAAATATATAATTACTTACCAGCTGTAAAATATTCTTGCCAACTATACAGTTTCTTTTGAATAAATCTACCCATAAACATTACTGGTAAAACCTTGCAGGCTTTAAGAATAACCTGAAATTTAAATGAAAATTAGAATTACGTATATTTTTAATTTTTAATTTTAATTTAAAAATGAACAGTTATTGTTTCTAGGTATCATTACCAAGGTTTGATTTGGTAATTTCAAATAAATTGAGCATTGGGTTGATTGTTATAAATAAAAATAATATATATTCGTAATATCCCAATGAGTAGAAAATTAGATTTTCTGACGTTTCGTGACTTAGTGTAAGCCACTTCTTCAGAGAATAAATAACCAAATTATTGTTTCCTATCTTGATATAGTAACATTAGACTAGAGTAAACTGTATGTTGTATATATTGCACAGCATATTTGCGGATTAAGCCATTAAAAAAATAATTTTTCAAAATTAATTTATGATAAATCCATGACTGTGAAAATTCCAGTCCTCATCAGTTGGATAACAGGAATGGTTGCATCAATGACTCAACACGAACCGCTCATTTCTAATAACATCTGAGTACTAGGAATGTAAAACATCTAATGACATTATCAAGTTATAAAATGAAAAGATCATTATTAGATAAGCATAAAATCAAACCTTTAAATTAAAACTAAACACAAATTAATTCGGTATATCCTTAGTGTAATAATTTTACTTCGGATTTAATTATATCATGCTGTAGTGAACGAAAACACAAGTGGGGACAATCGAATGTATTTGAACACAACATTGCAGAACGTCTTATTAAAATCTGAGGATCATACAGTAAATACTTTACATGCAAAATATCAATCAATCGTCCCAGACTTCATTGTTCTTTCGTTTCCATACCAATCACTCTCTGTTCTCGTTCTTTTTTCCTTGACCTTCTTAACCTCCTGCCGTCAGGCACTTCACTTCGGATTGATGATACGTACTACTTATAACTGTCAACATCGAGTAGCACACACCACAATGCTACATAATTCTTATTAAATTACGGGTTTGTGTGTAATTATTTAATTTTAAGATGGTCTTAATCATACACTAAATTTAGCTAAATAACCATTGAAAAGTAAGAGGTATTTATCAAAATATTGATATGCACTGCTAAGGTGTCCCATAAGACAATGAAGCAGGTATCCAGAGCTCGCTTAGTTTCCAATGGTTTGAATAAATTGAATTTACCGTGTAATTTAAGTAAGCCGATAATGTAGTAATGGCCAATATTCTCTGTGCATAATATACCTGGCTAGTGAATTATTATTTTTAATGGTGACAACGAGTTTGGGGTAAACAAGTTTTACTTCAGGTTTAAGTTGGTTTATTTATCTGAATTTTGGACAATTAAACATAATGTGTGTTGGAGAAAGATAAGAAAGAAAAGTTTTGTAGTGCCTAGATAAGAATATTGGAACATATCCACGAAGTTAGGACTGGTATTATTTATCATGTTTAGATTTCTATTACAGTTGATATTACTTCTTCGTTTTCTCTTGTCATTTAGTTAAACATTTCGCTATGCTGACATGATGACTTGGGCCAGTAGACACTCGTGTCAGATTCAGTGTTGATCATAATTGACTGATTAGTAACATGAACTATGCCACGAATTACAAACTAGTCAGAAAAGTTTACGTTTTAGTGGAAATCGGTAGTTATAGTCGGAGAGCGGGTTAATAAAAAATAACGTTTTGGACAGACAATAAAGAGTTAAGTTTTACACTGTTCATTTGATATTGGGGTCTTCACAAACGTCAGACACAATTACTAATGTGATATGGTAATACCAAGTAAATGATACCTATTCATGCCAGCAACTTTTTCCTTTAAACTGTTATGTATACCGTGATTTTCATTTCTAGAGACGTAAAATTCCTTTTGAAAATCCCCACCTCACTTCTAGTTTTCATCGCTTAAGTATCACTGTGCACTAGCCGTTCAATTTACTTAGTACCATTAGATCGGCTTTCATACTAGATTTCGATAATGCAATGAGAAGACGTAGTTTATCAGTTTTAAAATTTCATATTAGAATTAGATACCATCGTCCGTAATTGTCGACCTGAATTACGTATGTCATAACAATATTACAACAAAATCATTGTGTTGCATCCATCATTGCTGAAACATCTCACATTATTAATGTGTTCAGTGGTGAAATAGAGAAGGAATATTGTCAATTCCCAACAAAGAGATGCTGAAAAGCAGGCCTAATCAGTAGTAGCAACTTTTTTTAAGAATAGGTGATAAAATACGTACCAATAACACTTACTACTACAGCAAACAAATAGAGAGAATATTTATGTAAAAACTCCTCGATACCTGAAAAAGGAACTTCATTTAAGCAATCCAGAATGCAAGATTGTCACAAACAAAGGTTGAGTGCCTAAATTATATAACTAAGAGAAACACAGCATCTATAAAGTGAGTCAATACCACAAAAATAAAAAAGTGAAACATAGAACTGAAGACAAAATCACTGAAGTTTTCATCGATAAAAGGTTAGTGTTTGAATAACTTACCTGGCTAGGAAAGGAAATATAAATGAGGGCCTCATACTGACACCAGCTACTGATCACATTACTGACAGAAGCATATGCAAACTCGATGAAGGGAGCTTTTTGACCTTTTTTCCAAGGGTTAACAAGTAACCCAATATGTAGAAAGTGTAGAGGTATCAAAATAATTAATGCCATTGCACGATTACAGAAAACAAGATACTGTGGATTTTTAAACCTCTCATTGTCATACATTTTGGTCATAATTCTCTCCTACAGAAAAGCAAACAGACTTTAACCTTGAGCAATAAAAACAATCAACTTTTACATAATGGAAAAGCCAACGAATTTCTCTGATTAGACTATTGAAAACTTACGATGATGATGATGATAATGCATGCATTCTAGCAGTCATTCATTTTTTGTATTTTTTGTAAGATCTTCTTCTGAAAGACTTCAAAATCACAATACTCTAACAGTTAAAAATATAAACATCGTCGTTTACTTGTCAGCACTTAATGATACATTGTCTTCCCAACGTTTATCCGGCATCCTCACGTCATGAAGCATTTATATTAAATCAAATAAAGACCCCAAAACTGAATTTTCTAAGTCGATCACCAGATATTATCTTTAAGAGGATGTATAAGGATTTCTTTGAAATAGATGCCAGAAGTGTATAAATAATTATCAGTACCTAATTCTAAAAATACACCCTACATATACTAAACGAAAACAGTATTTCGCAGTCAAATCCCTTGACAAATTTAAATAGAGAAATAACAAAATGGTCAGCAGAGTAAAATGAATTCATTTCATTTCACGACCTCTCATCAACTGTATACAGCCTAAAATTACAATTACTAAAATAACTATAAACAATTATTTAACATTCTTCGGTTTGTGAAATTGGATGAATATTTAAAAGGGAACCGAAAATGCCATAATCATTAGAAGAATAAGATTGATGCATATCTACATATAAGAAAGTAGTGGTGCAGTGTAGAATAGGTGAAGTAACAGTTACTAGTGGTCATAATACAGGTTAAAGAAGTTATGTAAAAGTAACGAAATTGATAATTGATTATACAGTCATTCAACATGATAAGAAACAAAATCAAATTAATATGTGACCGTTCATAAAGCTGTGTGAAAAATCCCTGGTTGTGAGAATGCAGATTCAATATGGCTCAGAATAGAAGCCAGTGGAGATCATGGAGTAATTTTCGATTACTTTCTTTTACAAGTGAGAAACCTCTGTAACTGAGAGAATTTTTTATAATTGTACCTTACTCTGCAGAACTGCTTCTTCCATTATTCATTCGATTCATTCACTTACTTGTGTTCATTTAATCAGACTTTTTTAAATTCCGACTCAATCTAAAGCTTCATGATTTCGTCGACTTATTTAATAGGCATATACTTATTTTGGTGCCCATATGTACCAATATTTACGTGTTGAGACAAATAAATACTTTTCAATTTCATTACCACTGACAAGAGACAACTCTGGTTGCAAAATGGTTATCTAAGGTTAGAAAGCGTCAACGATAAAAGCACACCGGTATTCACAACTATATATATTACTTGATACAAAATATTGTATACACATCCAAGAGGTACTTTAATACAAGCATTGATGAAAAACCATGTTGGCGTTTTTTTCTATCAAGCTTCCCAACCAGTATATACATATATTACTTACTTACTTACGCCTGTTACTCCCAATGGAGCATAGGCCGACGACCAGCATTCTCCAACCTACTCTGTCCTGAGCCGTCCTTTCTAGTTCGATTCAATTGTTGTCCATCCTTCTCATGTCTGTCTCCGTTTCTCGGCGTATTGTGTTTTTTGGTCATCCTCTTCTCCTTTGGTCATGAGGATTCCATGTGAGGGCTTGACTTGCGGCGCAGTTGGGTGCCTTCCTCAATGTGTATCCTACCCACTTCCAGCGCTTCTTCCTGATTTCTTCCTCCTCTGAAAGCTGATCTGTTCTCTCCCACAGTAGGTTGTTGTTGATAGTGCCTGGCCAACGGATCCGAAATATTTTGCGTAGACAAGTGTCAATAAACACTTGTATCTTCTGGATAATGGCTTTCGTAGTTCTCCAAGTTTCCGCCCAATACAGTAGAACTGTCTTGACATTTGTATTGAAAATTCTGACCTTCGTGTTGGTTGACAGTTGTTTTGAATTCCAGATGTCCTTCAGTTGTAAATATGCTGCTCTTGCTTTACCGATCCACGCTTTCACATCTGCATCAGATCCACTGTGTTCATCAATGATGCTGCCCAGATATGTAAAGATTTTTTACATCTTCCAAGGCTTCTCCGTCAAGTTTGATTCGATTGGTGCGCGCTATATTGTATTGGAGAATCTTGCTTTTCCCTTTGTGCATGTTGAGACCTACTGCTGCTGTGGCTGCTGCTACACTGGTCAACTTCTCCTGCATTTGTTTTTGCGTGTGCGATAGGAGAGCCAGATCATCTGCGAAGTCTAGATAGTCCAGTTGCATCCTAATTGTCCACTGTATCCCATGCTTCTCCCCAGATGTTGACATCTTCATGATCCAGCCGGTCACCAGGAGAAAGAGAAAGGGTGATAGTAAGCAACCTTGCCGGACACCGATCTTTAATTCGAACGAGTCTGCCCTCCATGCACGATTTTGCAGTTTAATCTATCATAGGAATTCTGTATGATATTGGCTATCTTCTCAGGCACGCCCTAGTGTCGAAGAAGCTTCCATAGTATTGTCCTATCCACGATATCAAGTGCTTTCTCGTAGTCAATGAAGTTGATGTAGAGTGATGAATTCCATTCAATTGATTGTTCCACAATGATCCGTAGAGTTGCGATTTGGTCAGTACACGATCTATCCTTACGGAATCCTGCCTGTTGGTCTCGAAGTTGGGCGTCTACGCAGTCCTTCATTGTTTAACAATACCCTGTTGAAGACTTTTCCTGGTAAGAGTGATGCCCTTGTAGTTATCACACTTGCTGAGATCGCCTTTCTCTGGTATTTTGATCAGAAGTCTTTCTTTCCAGTCTGTTGGTACTTGTCCCTCATCCCAAATCTTGCTGAAGAGAATGTGGAGTATCTTTACAGTTACTGCTACGTCTGCTTTCAGTGCCTCTCCTGGAATGTTATCTGGTCCTGATGCTTTGCCGCTCTTGATTTGTCTGATGGCCATGCTGATCTCTTCAACTGTCGGCGGGCCAACATCGATTGGGAGGTCCGTAGGTGCTACTTCGATGTTGGGTGGGCTCAGTGGGACTGGTCGATTCAAGAATTCTTTGAAGTGTTCTACCCACCTGTTTCGTTGTTCTTCAAGGTTGGTGATTACTTTTCCTCCCTTGATTTTCACTGGCCATCCTGGTTTATGATAATTTCCGGCGGGCTTCGTTGTTGTATCATACAATTGTCTCATGTCTCTTTCTCTTGCAGCCTTTTTCGCCGTCATTGTTAGATCTCACACATACTTACATTTGTCGGTTGTGATGCTCCTCTTCACTTGCTTGTTTACTTCTGTGTATTCAGCTTGAGCCTTGTTTTTCTCTGATCGTGTTTGACTGGTATTGATTGCTGCCCTCTTGTTCCTCCTTTCTTGAATCTTTTCCAGTGTGTCAACAGTGATCCATTCCTTGTGATGGTGCTTCATGTGGCCCAGAACCTCATGACGTGTTGAATTGATTGCCTCCTTGATTTCTTTCCATTTGCTCTCCATAATAGTTCTCTTTCCATTGAGTAGGTCGTGAAAGGCCTGTAACTTATTGCTGAGTGCTATCTCGAATTCGTTGAGTTTGTTAGTATCCTGAAGAAAGGCCGTATTGAACTTTTGTGATATTGTCCGCCACATTGTCCAGTGCTTCTTGAGTTTCAATTTCATCTTGGCGACCAGCAAGTGATGATGTGAGGCTATGTCAGCTCCTCTCTTGGTTTTCATATCTTTCATAGTCTTCCTGAACTTTTTATTGATGCAGATATAGTCGATTTGGTTCTGTGTAGTGTGGTCCGGTGAAATCCATGTGGCTTTGTGCATGAGTTTATGTGGGAATATGGTGCCACCTATGACCATTTAGCAAATCTCTCACCATTTTCGATCCTTTCTCCGGTGTTCTCCGTTCCAACCTTGACATTTAGGTCTCCCATCAGAATGATCAGGTCCTTTATTGGGCATCGCTCAAATATTGACTACAGCCCATCGTAGAATTGATCTTTGACGTCTTCATTGTAGTCGTTGGTTGGCGGATAGCATTGGATGACGTTCATTGTAATATCCTCTTTCTCTGTGTTGAAGGAGGCTTTGATGATCCTGAGTCCATGAGATTCACACCCTATAAGTGTTTTTCGTGTTTGTATGGAGAGCATCAGTGCAACTCCTTGTGTACGTGGAGCATTTTCTTCTTCATGGCCGTAGTATAACAGCAGCTTCACTGAAGCTAATCTTTGTTGTCCAACCTGCGCGCAATGTGTTTCACTGATTCCAAGCACCTCCGGGTTGCATCTTTTCATTTCTGCAGCAGCTTGGATGACTCCCAGTCTCCCGCATTGTACGAACATTCCATGTACCTAAATTGATGGTTGTTCTGGTTTTCAGGAGAGGCATCAGCCTCGAGACTTTCGAAGGACCTCGGCTTTCACCATGAAGCGTCATAACTCATGTAAATGAAGACTTTTTAACTCCCAGTGCACAGTTTTAAATGGTTTGAATTATTTTTCTGGTTAGCGTTTTTAGCGAGTTATATATATATATATATATATATATATATATATATATTAAGGACATGATTGTTCATCAGTGTTTGCATTGAAGTACCGCTTGGATGTGTGTACAATATTTTGTACCATGTAATCTAAAAAACTCACTTGTAATACTCCCCATAACAAGTAGGACGATTGTAGACCAAAAAAGCAAAATGCCAACAATATATAGTATTGTTTCGAAGTCCTGCTAGAGGTACTACGATTGAAATGTAGATAGGAATCGATGCATTCCAAGCATGTCAGCTTTGAATGCAGTCCGTGTCGCGTTGTAGACATAACTATCGGGATCGGTAGATCCACCTCATTCTGAACGTGTTCTATAGAATAAACGTCAGGTACGAAACATATGTACATTGCTTTTGCATACCAAGAATCCGTGCTGTCTGTGAAAAGTATGAAAATACAGAAAGTTACTTGTTTACAAGAATTTGAGAGACAAAGCTTGTACTACTAGCAGATAAACCGCTTTAAAACCCCATTTTGAATTAAGTATCGTTCAGAACAGATAAAATAGGTTTGAATTTAAAGTAAAACTTTTCAATCACTTTGGAGATTACGATTTACTGGCCAGTACGAACATATTTTGACTATATTTTAAAAACCATGTGGACAGTAGGTTATTGAAAATGTCTTTAGCATAACCAAATTGTTTAAACTTAGTTAGCTCCCCATTTAAAATTTCATGCATTAATCAGTTAATTCTGTGGGTAGAACTCAATGATAAAATTATAAAACTAATAATCAACTGAAGATCATGATAGTAATTACTGATCCTATAATACGTATATTTACTAAATTTGAGTATGTTTTCAGACTTGAGATTAGATAATGAATACGACAAATTAATACGATAGCAACATTCACAATATCAACTGTGTCCAACATTAAATTCTACCACATGTATATATAACTATTCATGAGAATATAATAAACCACTACAACTAAAACGAACATTAGTAAATTCATAAGTTACTTTGAGTTAAGAAAAATTACCGTTGGAAATGTGCAATTTGTATCTGTTTCTGAAGTAGTTACTCAGCAAAACAAACGGGATTACAACCGATGAATATAATGATAAAATTCCAAACAACTCCAAAGACCACGAGAAATAGTTGTACATAGACGAAGATCCCTCCATAACAGAATACAAACTTCAAATAAAACGCTTCCTTGGGCAATGTATTTTATAAAATCTTCAGAAACTGAATTATGATAGGAAACAAAATAGTAGTTCGAAATTTTAGTTTCATAGTTATATAGTAATTTTAGTTATTAAACACTCGTTACAAGTGCTGATACATAAATAAGCACTCGTGTTGAATACTTTTTTTCAATTATTGAACATAGGGTGCATTGAAAGGTGTCTTTTAAAGTACAATTGAGATAAGTGACCTAAAATATATATCATGTAAACTAAGCGTAAAATAAGTTGATAAATGCACGCCGGCAACCGATTGTTCATGTTTTTTAAGCGATAGTCAAAAATATAAAAACAGAACTTTACACAAAGTTACTCAGTTTAACAAGAGTGAGATGAATCCCAAACAATGCTACATTTTCGCCATGAATATTCGAAATCCTTGAAATTAATCAGTCCTCTAAATGAGATTAAATCAAACATATATCTGACATCATTCAGGAGAGTGATTAGGAGGTCAACTCATGAAGCCGGTGTTCTTAGTGATCAATACTGGTTGTTTTAGCTTCATATGACCAAAGGAGCAAGAAAATTTTGGTGACATTATTTGTCTGTATCTATATATCTGCACAAGTATAAACATCTACATTGATAGGATCAAGTGTTACCCTGAAAGGATAGATAATAGCGTGTGTGAAAAGCCTCAAAGATTGTATGTTCAAAAAACTACTGAAAGACATATAACTAACCATAAGAAACTTAAAGATGCAACACTGGATCTCACTGATGTGATAGACGGCTAGGATGTGCTGAAATTATCAATCCACAGGTAGATATTGAAACCATTATCTAAATGGAACATGATGAATATTGATGAATGAGTGTTACTGAGATATACTAGTATTTTATCCCAAATAAAACAAAACATATATTACATACGGGAGACTGGAAAGTACCAGATAACTTAATCATTACATAAAAGATTCACTTTTATATTATGAGCCGCACGTTTTAGGATGATGGGAATCTATATTTACTGATGGTGCTCGAGCCTGTAAGCCTGTAATAGAAAATTGGATTACAAATTACGAGTGAAGGTCTGTGCTGTGGATAAAGTTTTTAAGTTACTGGCACACAGCTAAAGCTCAATAAGAACTACGGAGTAAATAGAACTTATAAGTAATTATTTTCTCCCTAAGTAACCGCAGCACAACTTTCGAATAAAACGATGGTCATAAATGAAATCACCGGGCTTCAATAAATACTATTTGTAGCCCAGTGAGCTTGTTTCGGTACCTGAAGGTAAATATTATTCACGCAATTAGGTTACAGGAACAGTCGCATTTCATCAACTATTCAATAGAAACTTCTCCAACCTTAAGAATTTATTTCCGAATTCTCTAAAAGAAACGAATTAAGTTGAGATATAAAATAAAAGTTAAACTGCATTCTAAAGCAGTTACTCAAACTAAGTTAGCATCACTACTTATGGCACAGGATAATGAAGGTGAACAACATGAAAACAGATTTGAGATAAATAAGAACTCAACATTACTAGACCTCAATACAGAAAAATAGCTTATAACAACAACAAGATGGTGGAGTGATGTGGAAAAAGTGCGACACGGGCGGTAGAGATCACTTACATATCACACTTCCGTCTTGTTTTAAATGTGATTCTTTGTTCGATTTCTTCAGTGACTTTACGATGCAAATCGTTTAGGCTGTACCCATAAACCGTTTGAACAAGGTGACAACCGACAGGAAAATGTGAAGATAACGGACTTACGAACAAGCATCAGGGACAAAATTTATCAACGAACGATGCATAATACGTTGCAGTTTACTGAATTTAGTTCCTCATTGTAATTTATTTTATTGATCACTGGTTAATGAGGAGAATGAGAATCGACGTCAATTTGAGTAATCCTTAATTTCGTTGAACATTCGAGTTTTTTCGAAGGCAGTTGTAACCAACTGTATTGTTAATCGGATAATCACAGATAGTCCCAATAATCTCTATGGTACAACAGATATCAACAACAATGGGGATAAATTTTTTCAAGACTGGGATGTAAAACAGATTTCTATGTTCGTACACATGTGTACATGGTGATGTCAACGTGTAGTCAAGGGGACACTAACCTAATAAGAAACCAAATTGTTACCTTTTCCCGATTTTGCCCGAAATTTTCCAGATGAGGGAAAATGTACCAGAATCAACATTTTTATCCTTCCCGAAATGTCCGCTTTTTCCCAAAATTGCGTTTCCTCTAAACTAACACCGATTAGTCTACTTTTCTGTAATATTAGCACGCAAAGTGATTAGTTTATCGCAGAAGTCAACGAACTGTACCAGTGTATTATTAGAAAGTTTTCCCTTAATTCCTACGAAAAATCATATTGTTTGTACACCCAACGTAACTGAAAGTAGTGATTTATATGAAAACAGTTTTTGCATGAACAGTTGCCAGTAATATTTAATATACTGAAGGACCATGGGCGTCTCCATATAGGAGCCCAAATATGTGAAACATGGAGGAAGACAGGGAAATAATTCGTTTCAGTCCAAAGTCCTTTTCCGACTTCCTGAGGAAATACTAGGTTTCTCTCGGGAAAGTTGCTTGGATCGATCCAGACCATAAGGAATTCACAGACTCGAAAACTATTAAGAATCATAAGAGAAAGCCAGGTAATTAATAAATAAGCTGCAAATATTAGACAATACATCCAAATAAATTTTTACTAGTAAATACACAAAGTGCTAACCAAGAAAGTTTAACCAGTGTAGCGCGAAAAATCATAATGCGTTTTAGATGAGTAGGGAATTTCTATGCTCAATTAAACAGTAACGTGTGACTCAATCTTCACATTAGACACTATTAAGATGAATTGCGATAATGGATGATTATATGTCTGGATATCAAACATATTCAGATTGTTGAATTTCTTTGCTTTTGGATAGTAATCCTAACGAACAATTGAGAATGTATGTCTGCCATAGCATTCATCTTCGACTAACGAGTTGTTCTCATGTTACCTCTTTCTTGTTCGGTTCAAATTGTTCAAATGGTTATAGACGGAATAAGAGAAGCTTTCACTTAACGGCCTTCCGTGTCCTGTAGTGGTGGGTCACCAATACCTCCAGGCATGTAAGTCATAGTAAGATATTACCCTTTATTCCCCAAGAATATGTCAAGTTTTCTCTTAAAGGACTACTGGAAAGGTGCTTGGACTATCTCAGCCGTCAGTGAATTCCAGCATTTGACTACTCTTATGGAGTAGAACTTTTCTCTACAGTTCATTCTGCTGAGTTTTGTCTCAGGTTTCTGGGTATTACCCCTTAGGCTAGTGTTGGAGCTTAGGGGATATTCAGAAGTGTTAAGGATGTTTTATGCCTGTAATATAACGGGTAAAGTTTTAGTGATTAGAATCGCTCTTTATAAGGCTTGAATTCGAGTCGCGAGTTGATTTCGTGTCTCGCCATTGGATACGTTCTAGAGTGTCCTTATCTTTTGAAGTGAGGGAGGAAATACTATATTTCCGTATTCTAAATAGAGACGAATGAAACTGTTGAATATTACGTGAAAAATTCTTATGTAGGACTGGCCAAAAATGCGCTTAAATATTACCAGTGCAAGGTTTGCTCGAAAGGCATTTTTTTCACAGTAAGCGTGTGACTTTAGATCATAGGATACCAAAACTCTTAGATCTCTTTAAACATATATACCCCTAGATAGAGAGTTACCCAAGTTAAACTATTAACGTGCAATATGTCTCAGGTGGACTACTTAACACTTTACTTGTCCCTTGTTATCTACATAACACTAATGTCGGGTCAGACCCTCCCGAACTGTCTATAAGCTTGATCGCAAACTTCTAACCAGAGCTTCACCGAGTCAGCGAAAAGTGAGAAATCAGATAGCATTCGCTGAGGAAGGATATTTATATGAATTAAGAAACAAATAGGTCTTAGTACTGAGCACTGAAAGACTTCACTATGACACTTTATAGCCTGAAAAAAGTGAAGTTTACCTTGACCCTAAGAAGTTGATTATTTAGATCTGAAGTAAACCTTTCGTGCCGGTAATTGGCCCTCTTTTCGCAGACAGAAGAAACCATATTGGTGGTGATTAGGTCTTTACTTAAATCATGGACAATACAGTCAAAGTGAGAGGTTATCTGTGTACGTATACAAACAGAAAATATAATACCAATACGAAACAAGGAAGTAAATGAATTCCTGGGCTATATTTTTCCGACATTACTAAGTTATTTGAGTTCAATCCTTAACCAATCCACCTAAGTCGTTGCATTAACTTTCTCTTAGAATCGACTTCCATAGGAATGTCAATTCAGCCGACATACCAAACAAGAACATGTCAGTTTGGTTTCCACAGCCTAAAGGGGAACTACTAACTGGTTCCATGTTTGACTTCTAATCTAACAATCAATGTTCAGTCAGTATTCGGAGATAGTCCATGGATATCGTGTACTTCACTAGCTTGTTATCTTATCGCATAGCCTATGCTTTCTTTCACAAATTATCGCTCATGAATTGTTGGATGTGTCCTCTGTATGAGGATCAGAGCTTGTAAGAGAATAGAAGGTAAGATAATGAAACAAGAGTGTCTCATGATTCGCTGTGAACGGGCTATCCAGCACCATGTTGGTGAGATATGATTTTCCCATGCTCTGTCTGGCTATTAGTTGTTCACTCACCTGCCTCGTTGGTCGTCCTCGATTCAAAAATAAAAAAGAATCTACTTCCAAGAAAAAAATAAATAAGTTAGTTGAAACCAAAAGAATCGCTCAACTGTTTGTATGAAATAATCACGTGCTAAAGGAAGTGTACAATTTTAGGTGACAAATGTTCGGTCTCACATAAGTGTTTGGCTTGGAGAACGGATTTGTAAACTGGAAGGAAATATACATAGTGTGGACATATTGGACACAAAAATGCATTGAAACGGAAAGTTACTTTTTTAAAACAATACACG